AATGGATAAGGAAAATGTAGTATTTACAAACAATGGCATACTACTCTGGTAAAGGACAAATCTGAATTATTTGTAGGAAAATGGATGCATCTTGAGACTACAATTTTAAGTGAAATAAATCAGACACACAAGCTTAAATATCACATTGTAGGGAAACGGGATTGGTAGACAGGGAGAAAATAGGAAGGAGAGAGGGAAGGAAGGAAGGAAGGAAGAAGGAAAGGGAAGGGAAGGGAAGGGAAGGGGAAAGAAAAATTTGAAATATATTCCTTTCAGGCATCATATTGGCAAAAAAACTAATAACACAGTGTTGGCAAGCATGAAGGGAAATGCGTGTGTGCATTGTACAACTTTCTGGAGGGCAGTTGGGCAGAAAATAAGCACATTTTTAAAGCGCATTCCTTTGCAACCAGTGATGATCCCTTAGGCAACTGGTAACACTGAGGAATTAAATCTCCCTTTGAAGTGGTCAGCCCAGCATCAAGGGTGAAATTTCAACTGACAAGCAGTGCTTGTGGAGCAAATGAGTCATAATCATATCACCCATCTATCAAGTTCCAGGGCTTACACCTCAGTCCCACCCACTGCTCTGGAAAATCCAGCCAATCATTTTGGCTTTGTGGCAGAACTTCAGGACCTATTTCCCACAGGAAACCCTAGCTGCAGAGCAGACTGACTCTCCAACTGTCCACCTATACTTGCAGCCACAGGAGACAAGCACCGAAATAACACTATTTTCTCTTTAAAAAGTAGCTTGATGACACGATCTTCCATATGGAAATTCACCATGTAGCACCTCCATTTTTCCCCCAAAGCAGTCTTCCTGGACACTGGGAGATGCCTGAAACATCTTTAATCAGAGTGGTACATGTGTGGTGTCCAAGCTGGTTTGTACTAAAAGCAATCTGTCTTTGAAGACTCACATTTAGAAGACCCTGGGTCCATCGTATTAGAACTGGACATCCCACTCTGGTCAGCTCATTTGCATCCACATCTCCTACCTCATCTACCACCCTCTGCCATTTCTTTCCATCAGCACATATTCACCAACACCCTGCAAGCCAACATATCTTGGCTGAGCCCTCAAAGCCATTTATTCCAAGGTACCACCCTATCCCCCACCGTAATTCATCCCTCAAAGACTGCCCCAGGCCTGCCACTCCAGTCTACTTGTACCAGCTATTGCCCTACCCAAAATATTCTCCAGTTGCCTAGACCTGCCCATTTTTTGGAGCTCTCCGGGTGGGAATCCAGTTCTTCAAAGCACCTTGCTGTTTATGCTCTCTGTGTGTGGTTTCTATGTCAGAGCTGCAGCTAAACAGGCACACCCCACACTTCCCTACGTGTCCTCCCTGCTCTCCTGTGCTTAGCTGCCTCAGAGCTAGAAGACTGATCAACTTGATCGATGGCTGTTCCAGACAAACACACTAACTCAGCAGTAGAAACCCATTCCTGCTCCTCAAGTTCACACACTTCCTTTCCCAAGAGGGCAAGCTTGGCCTGGAGTGTGATTCTAGCATTGTTTCTGCTTCTGATTTAAATCATAGGACAAATCAGTGAAGCTCTCTCCTACTCTCATTCCTCAAACATGCAGGTATACCTTATTTTGCACAATGTGTGTAATCCTGGTAGACTAAGGGGCTAATGTAATTTGCGTAAATCTTAGCATAAAGACTGGGAACTCATTATTCTAAAAAGCCTTTGAAAAGATAAGCTCTTTCACTCTTGCATGGAAAGATTTATTTCCTTCTTAATCAATCCTTCCTCCCTCCCACCCATGTCCAGCTTCTTTCTTGCACAGTACTGGGGATCGAACCCAGGTCCTTCACACATAAGCAACATCCCCAGCCCTTTTTTATTTTTTATTTTGAAACACAGTCTCAATAAATTACCTAAGCTAGGCTCAAAACTGTGATCTTCCTGCCTCAGTCTCTCAGAGTCTAACCGGGATTACAGTTTTTGTTAATCTTTTTTAAAATTCTGAGGCAGACATAAGTATGGGTGTGGTGGTACACACCTGTAATTCCCGCACTCCAGGCAGCTGAAGCAGGAAGATGGAAAGTTCAAGCCCAGTATGCTGGGCAATTTAGTGAGATCCTCTCTCAAAATAATTAATAATAATAATAATAATAATAATATTTTTAAAAGGCTGGGGATGCAGCTCAGTGTAAAGGCCATGGGTTCAACCCCGCTACTGCCTATATATACCTACAGAGAATCCGTATCTATATAGATATGCTTCTGTAGATGAAATGCATTACCTGTGCTCAGTCCTGACCAGCACTGCTATTTAATCAAACAGAAGAAAACATAAGTGTGCATCAAGCGCAATAAAAATATACTCCATAAAACTGCATATGTACGGGTGTACATATATGCATAGAAGTATGGAGTCATGATATAAAATGAATTTCTTATTTGGAGCATGGTCAAAATTTGTGAGTCACTGACACATGCTAAGATTATTTGAGTATTTCTTGAATATTAAATTTAAGATGTGTCCAAACAAGTTGCTTTATTATTCTATGCCATGGTTTTCTAATCTTATTTTCTGTGGTGCTGGGGATTTAACTCAGGCCCTCATGCACGTGAGATAAGCACACTACACTGAGCAACACCTCCAGTCTCTTCCAAAGTTTAACTGAAAACCAGTTTCTTAACTTATATTTAAATTCTGATTTTACACTCAGATACACATTTGCACGCATAATTGAAACACTTTGCATGAGAAAATACTTAGCCTTACTGTCTGCACTTCTTTCTGATTGTTTCCTGTTTTGCTTTTTAAAATGCTGATCATGACCTATTAAACTGATTTCATTACCGGTTGAAGAGCTGTGACTTGGCTCAAGTCTGAAATGTACCACTGGGAAAAAGGGAACCTACTTTCCAACCAGGGACCAGAGCTCAAGGTTTGCCAGAATGTAAAGTGGGGGAACCAGTCCCATCAGTGGTGCTAATACTTACTCAGGAACCGAAAATATTTAAATGGGGGAGGGGAGAAGACTCCGGCCAGGCTCTTCTCCATGTGCAATACAATGCATGTGGAAACGAGGGCCCTGAGCAGGCTGCACGAGGACATTAATTGGTATTCTGAACTGCGTGTTCCCGGGAGACACATCCAGGCTGAGCACCAACAACCCAACCCTGCCAGGCCAAGTTAGCCAACAACACCCCTTCCCCCAACTAGGCATTGTCAGAGCCCCTTTCTCCAGTTTCAGCAACCTCACCCCCCAGGCGGCCGCATTTCCTGGAAGCCTCAGTTCCGGGAGAGGCCTTCCCTGCTCAGTCCTGTCCTCGAGCACCCCTGTAGGGTGTAAAATTCTCACTTCCACAGGGCAGCTGTAAAGCCTGCAGCTGCAGCCATCCAACCGTGCTCTGCTAGAAGCGAGGGGGAGAAGCTGGTCATTGCCCAGAGCCGCCACACAATTCACAGGGGCTAGGCCTGGCCGTGTGGGCCGACGGCCTATGCTTCCGGGGGGCGGTCCTGGGCCTCTGCCCGGTTCACCCGGTGAGGAACGCCCCCCTGTGCCCTTCCCCAGCGCGGGAGTGCGCACAGCTAGGCAGCACACAGCTAGGCAGCAGGGTGTTCTCATTTAGCACTTAGTAACTTGTCACCTGATCAAGTGCCCCAAGTGTGTCACCTAAAACTTCTCCGAGAACCGAACCGGTCAGGGGCTTCACGTTTGCATACCGTGCTGTGGGGCCAGGGACTCTGGGGGACAGGGTCCCCGAAAAAAACCGCGGCAGACAATAGGGCAGAACAGGGGAGCGCTGGCAGTTTCCAGACCAGATAGGAAACAGCCACAGCTCTGCGGTTAAGGGTCCTCCGAAGAGAGGATGGTTGAGGGGCGGATTCTCACTGAGATGGGTAGCTGACTGTGGGATTTGGGGGTAGGAGAAAGCTGTTGGGCAGATTATGCAAGTAAGAAGGGCAGGAACAGGATTGTTAACAAAATAAATGTCATAAACCAGGCGTGGTGCTGCATGCCTGTAATTCCAGCTCCTCAGGAGGCTGAGGCAGTTGGATCACAAGTTCAAGACCAGCCTGGGCAATTTAGAGAGAGCGTCTCATAAAAACAAAAACAACAACAAAAAAACACAAGTGGTGTAGTTCAGTGGTGCAGCGCCCCAGGGTTCAACCACCAGTACCCCAAAGGAAAAAAATCCTAAAACTTGACATGGTCCAGAAACTTGGCAGGATCTTTTCAATTAAGTTAACGACTAGAAGTACATTAATTATAAATAAACATCCCTAAGATTTGGCAAGGACAAAAGAATCTGGCGGCGGTCGAGGAGCAGAGTCTAGTGTAGTCAGTGCCTCCAGATCCGCGATGAGGTCAAAGGTGAAGACCACGTGGGCGGCCCGAGGAGCTAGCTGCACCCCTTGGCGGGGCTCCCCCGCGCTCCCGGGAGGCGGAGGGGCGGTGAAAGCTCGCCCTGGTCTTGCATCAGACGAAAGGCGGCGCGCGTCTGCTGAGCCGGGACAGTCTTTGCCTTGAGTCTTGCCCACAGCCACGAGACCCGCTGGGACTCCGCCAGCGCACCCCAGCATGAAAAAAATCCACCGCCCGGAGGGATCGCCAGGCCCCTGCTCCCAGCGCGGAGGCCACGCTGACCCCCGCCCCTCTGTTCCACGCGGAGGTGGGGGCGGGGGCGGGGCGATGCGGGGCCCAGCACCAGGGTCACAGTCCGGCTCGAAGGCGCAGAAGGCTCGCCCGCATCCCGCAGGCAGCCCCGCAGCACCAGTTAGGACCGGTGGTAGCGTGAGCTGAGCCAATGAGGAACACGCGGCAGCAAACTGCAGGGAAAGTTTGCATCCTGCAGCTCGCGGCCGTTGGTTCCTCCCCTTCTCCTCCTCCCCCTGCTAATCCCCAATCTCTGAGGCCCGGGTGCTGGCTGATACGGGAGGAGAAGGGAAGGGGATGAGCTGACCCGGGAGCAGCCAGCCGGTGTTGGAGGAAGACGCCCGAGGACCTTGTTTTCTCCTGCTCCTTTACCTGCAGCTCGGCTATCAGCTCCTCTTTGCTCAGGTTCTGCTTCTCCACCACCTGCAGCCCTCCATCTTGCAGGATCTTTCGGCAGCAGGGGTCCAGGCTGTCACTAATGAGCACTTTGCGCAGATTTGCGAAGGCCATCGCTAGAGTAGGAATCGGAGTCTGCCGCTCTCGGTGGACAGGAGCGCTTCAGCCAAGAAGCTGCAGTTCACACTGGCTGACTCGGGTAACTGGGCAGGATTCTCCGTCTCCCGCTCCCCCTTCCATCTCCCCCCCTCTGCGCCTAGCGGCTCCTTTTGATTGGACGGAAATGCTCAAACTCTGTGACTCCGCCTCCTAGAGGTTCTGAGTCGTTGGGACCCCGCCCACTTTATTCTCTGGTCCGAGATGAATTTCTTAAGCTCAGGGGAAGCTCTTACACTTAGTGAACATTTGAAAGCACGATTGGCGCTGATTCATATCTGAAAATCTCTCTCACCGTGAGAGAAGTTTCATCCTCACTGCTTTCTTCCTAAAGACTCGTTGAGTTATGTAGCATGCATTTTTTGGAGGGTAAGAAGTCAAGGCATCCAAACAGACATTGAAAAGGGCTCAAACATTAAAAGCCTTGTTCCAAACTCTGATAGCCTGATGCATAAGAGTACACAAACACAAGCAATAAGAAACTTTTTATGGTTCATTTTAATTTACCTAATTATTTATGGTACTAGGTGTTGAACCCAGGGCCTTCTGACTGAGCTATACCCCCAGTCATCATTCATTCATTTATTCATTCAGAAACAGTTGCTAAATTGCCCAAGGTGAGTTCAAGCTTGGGATCCTCCTGCCTCAGCCTCCTAGAATGCTGGGATTACAGGTGTAGACCACCAGCGTGAGTTTCACACACTCTCCTTCAATCTAACTCATATCTAAAAACTATTTTGTTAACGTAGGGCTTGCACTAGAAACTCATTGTGTGGTTTGGGTCTGTTTTAAAAGTGTGGTGGGGCATAAAAAAGAAAGAAAATAATGCCCAGGTAATCAGGCTCCTCTGGGAGAGTTCCACTTTTGAAGTTCATTTGAAGGCACAGACTGAGTGGCCCAAGGATATGAAGATAAGTGAAATATAACCTATCCTCAAGCTTCTAGAGCCCAGCTACCTAATCCTGAGAGCTGAACAGGAAATAAGCAGGGAGAGAGAAAATGATGCAAAGGCTAAGAGATGTGAAGAATTGCAAGCTGCTCATAGCTTCTGTACTTGCGGGGATGTCAGTGGGAGACCAGCAGATGAAGCTGCAGAAGTTGGGAGTTTGCCCTGAGAAGGGGTTTAAACTTGACTCTAAAAGTGCTAAAGGCCAAGCTCCTTGGGAGGCTGAAGCAGGAGGATCACTTGAGCCTGAGAGTTCAGGACCAATCTGAACAACATAATGAGACTCTGTCTCAAAAATAAATAAAGCTAGGCTTGGTGGTATAGACCTGTAATCCCAGCACTCTGGAAGGCTGAGGCAGGAAGATATAAAATTCGAGGCCAGCCTGGCAACTTAGTGCCTTAATAAGACTCTATCTCAAAGTAAAACATTTTAAATGAGCTGAAGTTATAGCTTAATGCAAAGGCCCTGGATTGCATAATAAATAAATGTAAATGAGCCTGATCATGATGCATGCCTGTAATCCCAGCTACTGGAGAGGCTGAGGTAGGCAAATCACAAGTTTGATCTCAGCCTAAGAAACTTAGCAAGACCCTATCTCAAAATAAAAAATGAAAACAGGGCCAGATTTGTAGTATTTACCTAGCATAAAGTTGTATTTACCTAGTATATACATATGAAGTTCTAGGTTCAGTCTCCAGTATCACAAAAGAATTCATTAATTAAGGGTAGTACAGAGAGTGATTTTGGGGGAAATGTTATGATCAAATGTGTTGACTCAGCTGAGCTTTTATATTGCTAATATAGATAATATCCCTTAGCATCTGACCCCCACAGTGTCCAGAATTAAAAACAAGTTAAGGGTATTTCTTTTATAACTGATTTGGTTCTTGTCCAATTCAGTTTGCGACCAGAACTGTGGAAAGTTTGTGAACTGAGGTACCACTGTATTAGGAAAATTGTTCTGCCTTCTTCTCTGCATTACTCATTCTTTCTCTCCTCTGGCCCCAGCTGCTTGGGAAAAGGGACACCTCTGATTAGTGAAGTTTAGGGGAAAAGTTGTAGTGCATGCCCAGACCAGTCCCTTCTTGGCTGTCTCTTTTGGCACAGGAAGCCAGCATATAATGTGCAACTTCTTGCTTCCTTGTATGTAGTGAGCTCATCAGATCAGGCCTTATCCTGCGAACTTCAGGGTGCATGAGCTAGAGTGACATGCTTCTGTGTCTGGGCTCCGAGGATAAGGTCAGTAGGGTTAGTAGGAGACAGACGGAGGGAGTAGGGACTTTATATTTCTTCTTGGAGCCTAGCTGTGATTTCCAAACTCACATGATGAGAAATAAAGATGATACTTGGGTATTTAGGGTTGTTCTTTTTTTTTTTTTAAGTACCAGGGTTTGAGCCCAGGGCCTTCATACAGAGCTATATGCTTAGTTTTTAAAAATACTTTTTATTGTAAGATAAGGTCTCACTAAGTAAGTAAGTTGCCCAGGATGGACTGGAACTTGAGATTCTCCTATTTTAGCCTCCCAGAGTTCTGGAATTACAGGCATGGACTACCATGCCTGATTAAGGCAGGTTGTTGTTGTTGTTGTTGTTATTGCTGCTGCTGCTGCTGCAGTTGTTTGTCTGTTTTTTGAGACAAGGTCTTACTATGTAGTTCAGGCTGGCCTTGAATTCATTATATATCCTGGGATGACCTTGAACTTGAGTCAATCCTACTGCCTCAGCCTCCTGAGTGCTGGCATTATAGATGTGTGCCATCATGCCTGGTTATAACATGTACTTTGAGAAATAGAAAATGGATAGAATGGTGGCCCACACCTGTAATCTCACCACTCAGGACTGCATGTCTGAGGCAAACCTAGGCTGTATACTGAGTTCAAGGCCAATCTGGACTGACACAGACACACAAACACATATGCACTCAAGCACATACATATGCACAGCTGAGGAGGATGACGAGGGGAAAAGAAAATGAATGGCCTAACTAGGCATGATGCTATAGACCTGTAGTCTCAGTGATTTGGACGCCTGATACAGGAAGATTTTTGAGCCTAGGAGTTGGGTATTAGCCTGAGCAACAGAGCTAGACCCCATCTCAAAATTAAATTAATAAATGTTAATAAAATGAACCAGAGGCGAGATCTGGCCTAGAGCAGCACCGCTCCCCAGACCTGGAAAGGCCCCCCCTCACCACATGAGAGGGCTGACCAGTGCTGGAGGAGTGGAGGTCCTGCCACCATGTGGGAGATGACCTGAAGTAGCGCTTTGCCTGCCATGTGTGAGAGCAGTAACGTGGGAATTTGTTCTCAGATGCAATCTTGATTTGATTTTCCTATTTTGTATTATAATTATCTTTCCATCATTGGATTTATTCAGGGTTTGGAGCTTTCTCCTATTTTATTTCCTCTTCTTTCAGTTTCTTGTTTGCATTTTATCTTTTTCTCTTTCACCTTTTTTCTCTTCATTCTTCTTTCTTTCGTCTTTTGTTTTTACTGTATATCTATGTTCTTCTTTTGCTTGTTAGTTCTTTCCAGTGACTATTGTCTATCGCTATTAATTTCCCTCTACTCTTTAACAGGATCCTCTGTGCTTCTCTTCTGTCCTTCGTTTCATCTTCCATCAATTAATTTTTCAAATTTTGTTTTTTCCATTCTCCAGTTCCCATTCCCTCACCTTTCCTAGTGTAATCACTAAGCATTATTAACCTATCAATAAATAGTTAACTTTGTGCTATTGCTGTTGAATACTGTGCTATCATTAGTACAGGTAAAGTTGTTCCATTTAGTAAATATTTACTGTAGATCAATGCTTGCTTTGTCTTAGTGTTCATACTATAATTATAAATCTCCTTCCTGGGGCTGGGGATTTAGCTCAGCGGCAAAGCACCTGCCTGGCAAGCGCAAGGTCGTGAGTTCAGTTCCTGGTACCGGAGAAAAACAAAAAAAAAAAAAAAAAAAAAAAAATCTCCTTCCTATGGATAAAGGGAGTACTTGATTTGTCCTTAGGATTAGGCAATATTCAATTTATATTTAATGTTATAATTGATGTCAATTTTATTATTATAACCAATAGCAATTATTAGCTATTGCTATTAATTTGTTTTCTTGAGATGCCTATATCTAGACTGCCTAGGGGTCATTAACAATACTGTGACCCATTCTGGGAGAACTGGATTTTGGGCCAAATGTGCTACAACTTCCCATCTCTAGTAAACAGAGGTAGTTCGATACTAGGACAATGACAAAGGTCAGTAATTAGCCACACCCACTGCACACCACTGAAAAGTAGACATTAAAGAGTTCTTCATACCAGAAACACTACAACAAGGTCAGCAGAGAATGAACAAACAAAAATATAAACATGAGAAGACAAGCCAGTGAAATACCTCCACAAATTCCCAATTCCCCCAAAGCAGATCCAAGAGTCATAGTGGAAAGGAAACCGAAAGACTCACACCTTAATTATTCAAAATGTTATCAAAGGAGGTAACAGAACAGTTCAATAAAGCAATTGACAAGATCACAAAAGTTATAAGTAACAAGATATTGAGAATTAAGCAAAATTGTCAGTGAGTCTGAAGAAGACAATAATAAAAACAAATGTTAGACAAAACAATGCAAAACATACATGACCAGCATAGAAAAGGATTAAAGTCCATAAAAGGGCTCCAAATAGAAAGCCAGAAGATTAAAAATTTCTATTGAAAGTGTGGGCATCAGAAGTGACCAGCCCCAGAACTAATGGACAAGGCTCTTGTCAATGACCAGTTAAATAAATACCTCTTACAAACAACAAGAGAACATGAAAAAATGCATCAACCACTTCTGGATGATGCAAAGAAGGCTAGTTAATGATTAATTGGAATTAGTGAAAAATCAAAAGATGGCAAACAGCATAAAAAACCTATTTATAGAACCAAAAGCTGAAAGCTTTCCAAATACATTAAAAGAACTTAACATCTACAGTAAGTGAGGCATGCAGAACCCCAAATAGCCATGATCAGAAAAGAACCTCTCCAAAACACAACCAATCCCAGAAGTCCAACATCACAACAGAAATTTTAAAGTAATGAGAAAAAGGTAACAAATCACTTATAAAAGAAAACCCATTAGAATTATAGCAACCTTCTCACCACAAAAGGC